CGTTTTTAAAATTTATAGTTCATTAATCAATGTTTACTTTTATTATAAATATTATTTGGAAAGAAAATAAAGAAAAGAAAAGATAAATTAAAAATAAATAAAATTTTAATAGTAATGGAAATTAGATATAATATTTTTAGTTCATTAAGGGTATCTATGTAATCAACCATTGTGAAAGTTAACGTGAGCGCGACACATATGAAACTGACTTCTCAAATAATATTATAGAGATATATATGTTTTCTTCACTTTCCTTCTGGTGAAAGTTTGGCGAATATTAAATTTTTATTATCGGTTGAAAAGTAAAACAATTAATTAAACACAAAACAAATGTTGTAGAAAAAAATAACAAGGCTAGTCTCGATCAACAAAAGATTCATAAAAAGTCAAATTCGTTAAACTCGACTAGAATGGTGCGAGTAGGAGTGGGCAATAAACTGGATCTGAATACCATAACTGGATAAAAATGAATCTAAACCGATATAAATATCGAGTGGATCTTGTTCTATAGTATTTTGGATTATGAGTGTACTTGAACCGAATCCGAAAGGATATAAAAAAAAATCTACAAAATTCAAAATCTCAAAAGAAACTTATTTCAAACCTGAACTTAATCCATAATAACTATCCAAAACAGTCTAAAATACTATGGAATATCTAAAGTAAGTATTTATTACATCCATTTTATATTAAAGTAGGAGCATTCCTACAAACTAACCTTAACCTCATATATTATTATCTAAAATGTCATTTTTTATGTGACACTCCTACAAATATAAAATGACCAAGTGTTTTACTCAATAGACCGATTTCTTTTGGTTTGACTATAGTTTTTTGTCCAGTCCATTCAATTTTCATTATGAATTATTTCTATGATATGCGCAGTTTGTTCAACTAAACATTCCAAATCCATTTGTATTGTTTCGACGTTCTAAACATTTATATATAGAATAGTCATATGTTATGTTATTTTGGTTCACTAGAATTTTTATGTTTCAGAATTTTGAATATTAAGAGAAGACAAATATCATCAACAATTCTCAGTGTTTTAGGTCCTATGAGGAATGATTTTTATAAATCCAGTTGTTCATCATTACTTCTGTTAATTATTCATAAAGGAGGCCATTGTTCGTAATCAAATCTTAATAGAAAAAAAAATCAGCACAAGTTTACGTGTTTTCCAATCCATCTTAATTGATATTATGACTAAATGGTATGCAATTTAAATAGATTGGCATAAGTTAAGATGCAGTATTAACTTCAACAACATAATTAGTTGTTTTTATATTTTTCAATAAGAGAATTATTTTGTTTTCTAAAATACACAGCGATTGTCATTTAGCCATAAAGGTTATTTACATAGTTATGAATACAAATTATAAAGTACTTTATTAGTTTCCTAATCTGTTTTTTTATATTTAATTGGATACTCAATCACAAACTAAACATAACAATTTCGAATGAAATTTAATCAAAGCATCAAATTAGTGCATGATTGAATTATATTTTGCGGGTCAATGTAACTGATTTGAAACACAATTTTACAAATATGGTATAACCTAACTGAGCACTAATTAGTTTATACACCTTTCTTTTTTTAGTAATCAATAATTCAGATTTCTTTTAATCAAATTAACCTTAGCCAGCAAATCATTTCGTATATTTCGTATACATATTTAATATAAGTAAGAACCTATCATTATATTGTTTGTTATTCACAATAAAATTATTTTTATATTTTCTTAGCACTTAATATATTTTTGATGCGATTTAGATATTATATCTAAAACCACATTTAAATTATATGCGATATATATTATATAGACTACATATATAATAAAATTATTATAAATGTCAATTTTTTTTAAAGAATAATAATTGATGTCTATACACTAAAATCAAATATTTTTATTATCTTAGAATAAATATATCTTTAAATAAAAATTGAAATAAGGAAATATTTGTAATTTAATATCTTTATAAATTAATAAAACTTCAAAGTCCAAACATTATTAATTTATAAAGGTTCTATTGTATATAACATAATTTGTTTATAGGTTTCAAATAAGATATCATCCCGCACAGAGTACGGGTTATCACCTAGTGAATAATTAATTCAAATACATAATTTAACATGTTTATGGATGTCGGCTTTTCGTTTACCAAAAAAGTGTATAAGAGAAATAGACAGCCAGCCTCTGGTCTGCTTTCCTTTAGTCTGGACCGGAACTGAACACACAAAATCAAAGGTGGAATGGAAAGACTGCTGTAAACCGAAAGAAGAAGGTGACTTGGGGGCTGAGATCACTTGCTGAAGAAAATACAGTTTCGAGCCTGACACTAGTATGGAAATTTCTTTCTTCCAAGACGTCATTATGGGTCCAATGGGTGAAGAGATTCTTGATAAGAAAGAACTATTTCTGGTCAGTTAAGGAGAGCAGTACATTGGGATACTGGATATGGAAAAGGCTAGAAGAGATATGGTCAAAACATTTGCGTAAGTGGAGAAACAATGGAGCAGCTACTTCTTTTCAGTTTGATGTTTGGATGCCGATGGGTAAACTTATTGATATCACGAGTAGTAGGGGATGTAGTGATCTTGGTATCAGACTTTATGCAACTATCCAAGAAGTCATCCAAGGGCGAAGAAGGAGACAACACAAGGTTAACAATCTCAATAATATTGAGACATAAATTCGGATTCTCAAGGATAGAGGTCCCTAGGAGCTGGAGGACGTTACCTTATGGAGAATAGAAAGGATAAATACAGACTGCAATTCATGTCTAAAGAAACATGGAAAATGGTGAGAGTGGCCAGCCGGTTTGTTGACTGGAGCAGGGGAATCTGGTTTGCTTATAACACACCAAAGGATCATTTTATGGTGTGACTAGCTACGCTTGACAGGCTCACGAAATGAGATAAATATCAATCATAGTACTCACAGTTACCAAGCTCTTGTGGATTTTGTGATGTTCATTTGGAAACCAGGGACCATCTTTTCTTTGAATGCAAGGTCTCTGAAGAAGTGTAGAAAGATCTGACGCTGGGACTACTATCCACACGCTATACTAGTGAGTGGAATGGGGTTTTGCAGCTAATATCAAACAAAGGAGTGGATAAGCTTGATATATTCCTAATTCGGTATGTATTCCAAACAACTTTTTATGTACTATGGAGGGAACACATTCAAAGAAGACATGGAGAGGCGGCTACACCAACTTCTCAACTGATCCAAAAGGTGGACAAACGAGTTCGAAATCAGTTTGCTATATTCAGGGGATTATTTGGCCATGTCTGTGAGAGGGGGCTGGCTAGGTGGATGGAAAAAAAAGATGAAGCTTGAGTTGAAGACATAATTTTGATGGCTTTCTAAAAAAACTTAGATACAAGGCAACGACAAATATAAAAACAAATTTTTTGCTTGAACAAATTTAAATTCTTTCAAAAAAGCTTAAAGTTTTTATGTTCTGACTATTTCATTTTTAAGTTCAAATATAAATAGGACTGCTTCTAAAGTTTACATAATGTTGATTTATTTTGAATTTTAATTAAATTTTCATTACTATATAGCAATGTTCCAGAATTCGCTAGGCGCTAGTTGGGCGTTGGGGTTGCGCCTAGCGCCTAGGTAACAAATCGGAGATTAATCAAGGATTAATCGGGGATTAATTTTTGAAGTTTTATTATATATATAATGTATATATATATTATCGTATGCATAATAAGAGCATGAGTCGTTGCCTCCTAGCGGTAGAGTCCTATGGTGTTATGTTGACCAACCTGACTTCGACTCCTCCAAACTGCGTTTTAATTGTTTTCGTGTTAAAAAAATACCCACAGCGTTTACCTAAACAAAAAGTGGACAAAATCTTAATCTATATAAGGAGTACACATGCTTTCCATGGTAAGGCATATGGGTTCTAGTAAAGCCCATAAAAATATTTTCATAGTTTAAAAGATTGAGGCCCGTTTATTTTTAACTCGGCCGATTAGTTAGTAAATAGTCCGATTAATTGGTTTAATGGACCAATTAATTAAGGAGCGTTTAATCGGCCGCCTAGGCAGCGTTTTTGAACAGAGCTATATAGTGGTTTTTTGGACCTTGGAAAGTGGAATCTACATAATAGCAAAACTTGATCATGTTCCAAACAAATCTCGAGAGTTGTTTGCTAAAATATCAAGTACCAAGACCAAGATTCTTTTTTTTTACAATAGTACCAAAACCAAGATAAGACAGCATTGGGATGGAAAAACATTTGAGATTTGAAATGCTTCTTAAACTTAGTTAGATTCAATGTGCTTCTTGATGATATTGAGCGCAGTTGTGTCCTCACCATACTCCTTGAATACAAGACAAGAGCATCCAACAACCTTCATGGCATACCCTCAGAGTAAATCTTGCATAGACCAGCCCATTCACCGAGGATCTTGGCACTTGGAACAGTAAGCAAGTTGATGTTGTGATCAGCGCAGAGAGCCTTGACAAGCTTAACGTAATCAGGGTGGTTGCAGTCTTCAGCTAATACACATGGCTGAGCAACACTCCTCAATAAGCTTAGTACTCTCATGGAGATCACGAACAACACCACCATGAGCATGAGCTTTCCTAAGAGTCAATTTCAAAGCAGACAACAAGTTCATGTCCTTTCGGATAGCCGCTGGCTCTGCAACGGGAGGAACAATAATGGGAGCAGAAGCTTCATAAATTTGATTCAGAAAGATAGAGCTCCATATAAAAATCAACCACCAGAACAAGTCCCTAGTAAAAAGGAGATAGAGATGGATGATCATCCCGAATGTTTTAAATGCCTTTAACTTCTGCAAAAACTTAACTCCTTCTGTTCTCAAAGATGATGATGGCTGCCACATTCATAATTAACAGCAAGATACTTTTATAAAGTTCTTAGTTGTAACTTTTAATTTATTTAAAACCCTCATCTGAATATCATAAACATTATATTAACAATAACAAGGTGCTCAACAAAAAAAACTGAAAGCACCAAAACCATTTGTCATACACGGCTGTGTGGGAAACTTTGGAGAATAAGAGTTTGATTGGTTTCCGTGTATTCACATGTGGGATTTGTAAGTGTTGACTATATTCTCTTTCTTTGGCTTGTTGATATATCGAAAACAAGCCTTGTTTCCTCCCATAAGATTCGGAGTCACAACCTTCTTTAGGTGATGCTACTGAGAGCATCCACATCAATGAACCCCCTCTTGGGGTTCATTGAATCAATTTTATATTATTAAAAAATTTCTATTTTTTTTTTATTTTTTTATTTTTTTTAAAAAGAAAAAAAAAATTCTAAACCAATCTCGGGCCGCCACGTGGTGAACCTTAGGAGAGAGGGGTTCACCCGAGAGAACTTTAGGAGAAAGAGGTTCATAGATTTTTGTTATTTTATTATTATTTTTTCTTGATTTCCGTGTGAACTCTCCCCATAAACCCTTAATGGGGGTGCTCTGAGGTGTTTGTTCTTGGTCAAATTTCATCCCCACGTCTATGGTTCTAAATCTTATCTTATATAATAAATGAGGCTTTTGTCACTTCTCATACATCCACGTCAGCGAGGGAGATTAGGGCGTTTTTTGACACGTCAGATCCAAAAAAAATTCGTCGAAAAGCGCAAGGCTTAACATATAAATAGCCCACTCGAAACAAAATATTAGAAAAGAATATGGGCTCAGATTCTACTATCACAGACCCATACCAAACCCTTCCTCATGTCACGTCTTCCTCCATTAGCCGTCCACCTTTTACCACTTCCGATTCTCATAAACTTCGGGAAAAGGGTCTATTTCAACCTGAACTTTACCAATCGTGCATATTCCTTCTCGAACTTTGTTGTAGTGCGTATTCCATACTAAACTAAACAAAAACTTAAAAATAATATATGAACTTTACAAATCATGCATTTTCCTTCCTGAATTTTATATTAGTGCATATTTCACACTGAACTAAACAAAAGTATAAAAATACAACACAAACTCTCAAAATCGTGCTTATATATATAAACCTACAAATTTGTTAGTCATCCGTTAGTTTATCAAAATGATGTCATTTTAGATCAATTTTATAAAATTGAAAATACTACTTAAACTTGCAAAATCATACTTATATATATATATTTTAATCATAAAAGATATTACTCATCAGTTAATTTATGAAAACAACATCATTTTGGATTAATTCTATACATTGAAAATAATTTTTTTGTGAGGTTCCAACTTTCACACAGGTGGACAAATAAGAGCATAGAAATTGCTAGACCAAAGTAACTTTCTTGTATAAATTGTCTAACATTAACTTATATAAGTTTTTAATCAAATATATGTTAGCAATTTTTTTTTTAATTTATCAAATCAATCTATAACTATTTATGTTTTAAATTTAAATTTACAAATAATTATTTTGTAAAATTTAACTTAGTTATTATTAATTTAAATATTCATTTTATACTTGTCTATTAGTGTGAGCTAGAATTCGAACATCCCACAATTTTTTTAGTTTTATAGAATTTATCCTAAATAACGTTGTTTTGATAAATTAACAGATGACTAACATCTTTGATGACCCATATATATACATAAGCAAAATTTTAAGAGTTTGCGTTGTATTTTTAAACTAATTTACAGAATTTATAAAAAATGACGTCGTTTTGGTAAATTACCGGATGTGTAATATCTTTGATGGTTAATATATATATATAAGCACGATTTTGCAAGTTTATGTAGTATTTTAAAATTTCTATTTTAGAAAACTTATCGAAACTGACCTCGTTTTGATAAATTAATGGATGACTACCAAATTTGATAGTTTATTTATATAAGCACGATTTTGAGAGTTCATGTAGTATTCTTATATTTTTATTTAGTTTACTATGGAATATGTACTGCTATAAATTCAACAGTAAACTAAATAAAAAATAAAAATACTACAAAACTCTCAAAATATATATATATATATAAGCATGATTTTGCAAGTTTATGTAGTATTTTAATTTTATAAAATTTATTTAAAATGACATCATTTTGATAAACTAATGGATGACTGACAAATTGGAGGGTTTATATATATAAGCATGATTTTGAGAGTTCGTGTTGTATTTTTATACTTTTGTTTAGTTCAGTGTGAAATATGCACTACTATAAAGTTCATGAAGGAAAATGCACGATTTGTAAAGTTCATATAGTATTTTTAAGTTTTTATTTAGTTCAGTATGGAATACACACTACAACAAAGTTCAGGAAAGAATAGGCACAATTGGTAAAATTTAAGTTGAAATAGGCAATTTTCCCCAGAAACTTCCTCTGTAACGTTTAACTAGACTTTGAACCAGCACATCCGTGCGGGTATGTTTTCATTTTATAAAAATATAACAAAAAATTTCAAATATATATGATTTACATTCTATTGTTTCAGTAATGATAGTGCATAAAGATCTATTAGCAATTTTGAATTGAAAGGTAGAGAAAAAATCTAAACCCAAAAGTTTAAATTGAATCTAACCGTGGAAAAATATGAATTAGATTAAAATACAATAAATTAGAAAGTTGATTCAAGACAATCGAATCGGCGACAATATGTGAACTTTATAGAATTTCTCTATCTTAAAAGAAAATGTAGTGAAAAAAATTACATCTCTATATTTAGAGACAAAATAGCCTTACTTTATACCCCTAATACATTATGCATTTTAATACTATTTTAATTCTTGTAGCCACAAACATATATGTTGTGAAGACCATGTTTTTAAACCTTTATTGTCTAAATAACTATTTATGAATAAAACATACTAATTAAAGTTTTATGGCGACCAAAACTATGATAAATAATAAATAGCAAATTGTATTAATGTATTTGTAATAGAGCTGAAATCACAAACATTAAGAAGTTATTGTAACTTCATTTCTAATATACAAATTTCAGTATATATATATATATATATATATATATATATATATATTTCTTATTTTTTTCTTCTAATTTTTTTCACTTTTGATTCATATTTATAGGAATAACATTTTCAAGAAAAAAAATTATGTATCTAACCTAAATTATAAAAAAAAAATTATTTACATAATTATAAGTATATATATATATATATTTGTTTTTTTAATAATGTACATCTGTTGATATTAAAACAGTAAAAAATAATAAAAATACAACATTCCTATATTATTAATTTCAAAATTGTCGCTTATTTTTTCTAAAAATTTTGTTTATTTTATTAATATTGTCGCTTATTAATAATTTCATATTTATAAGGAAAATAACTATTAGATATTTATAAGAAAAATCAAATGTGTAGTTATTTATCTTAAATAAATGCCTACTGACTTTGTAATTATTTTCAACCTATATATTTTATTTGAATTTGAAAATAAAGTTCGTTAAAAAGGACTATTACCATTAAAAAAAATTATAGATTTTGTAATTATAATTATATCAATTATTGATTTAACCTTGCAAATAAGATTCTGGACAAAGAGTATTACAATTAAAATAAAATTATAAGAATTCATTTTACAATTTTAGATATTTAGTATTTTTTAAACAGAAAAATAATATTAAATATTTATAATAAAATATTTAATTTGTAGAAAAATCGTATTAAATAATATTTAGTATTTATTATTTTAAATCAACGTTTTAAAAAATAACATTATTATTAAATAATTATTTATATGGAAATGTAATTTCTACAGTTTTTAAAGACTCTTTAAAAAGGAAAACTAACTTTTTAAAAGTTTTGTTTAAGATCTTTTAAAAGTAAAATTTACTATGATTATTTTTTCAATTTTATAAATTTAATATATTTTTCATAGAAAATACTATTAAATATTTTTATACAAAATTTTGGTAAATATTTTACAATCGATCAAATTTATATTCAAATAATATTTTGTATTTTATAACTATCTTAAACCCACATAATAAAAAGATATATTATTAAATAATAATTATTTATATGGAAATATAATGTTTTGAACTTTTTTACTTAAGCTTTCTTCAAAGGAAAAATAAATTTTAAATTATTTTAGTCAAAAATTTTCTTTACAAAGAATGTTATTTAACACATGTCATAACCTTAAATATATAGTTGTCATGTGTCGTGATCGTGTTAATTAACAAATTTGAAAACCAATTTTTATATAATAATAAAGTTTTTTGTTTAAGTTTTTTTTAAAAGGAAAACTAACTTTAAATTTTTTTAGTTAAAGTTTTTTTAAACTATTTTTAACACATGTCATAAGCTTAAGTAAGTAAGTGTCATATGTCTCCGATCAAGCTAATTAGCAACTTGGAAAATAATTTTTTATATAATGACATGTGTCAAGAATATAAAACACAACTCTTTTGTTTAGGATTTATAAAAGTAAAATTATTATAACAAAAAAAAAATTCTTATGGTTTCTTTTTATGATTTTAGAAAAGGAAAATTACTATACACGGTTTTTTACAATTATATTTTGATTAGGATTTAAAATAAATTATTAGTAATTAAATATTTCAGTAAATATCAAATAGGTTCTTAAAATTGGAATTTTTCAAATTCGTTTTTTAATATCTCTACATATTTTACAA